CGATCGTCTATATATATTAGATATATAGCCGATCGTGAATGACTGACAGACCGTAATTCTAACCATGTTCTAGGTTTAGAAATCTGAAACTTGGAAAACATATACCTTTTGGGATAGAGTTTAGAAAAAATCCGACTTTGGAGGTTCATGCCCTAGAGGTTCATATCATGGGGGGAAAAGTTTTCCTTAAATATGTTTTGTGACAAATGAGGAGGGCATTCATAAAGACAACTGGATGTGCTGTGTTCAGTGGTGAAGTAGGAGCGTCTGTGACTGGCAGGTCTGGGTTCAATTCCAGGGCTTTGTGATGCAATCTTTTGGATTTTTTTACTTCCATGTCCCGTTAATCATTCCCCAACAATAACATTACTTTTGCTTGAGTAAAACAGAGAGACATGGAAAGCTGAAAATTGGCATGGACGTGCCTACCAAGACGGTGAGTTCATGAAAAATGCAACATTTTAAATCCATGCGATCCATCCATTTATTTCAGCCAACGTTTTCAAGTATTTTTCTTGTCCTGGCGCATTGAGCTAGAGTGGAAAGGTGAAACTTGGTACATAACTACCTATTGGGATGCTGCAGAAAAATTAATACTATAGAGAAAAATGCCCTGCTCGCAAAATTTTCAAAGGGAGATGTTTTCACCAAATTTTTCCCATTATTTAAACTGATGAACATGGAAAGTTGAAACTTTGCATGAATGTGACTACTAAGAGAGAGTTAAATTTAAAAATGTTAATTATCGATACATCCCATGGGCGAATTTTTTTTTACGAGGGGCGATGTTTTAAAAAAAAAATATTGTGGAGAATTGGACGGAAATGGAAAAGTGAAATTTGGCACAGGTAAAAGTGACATGATATTAATGAGCTGAAAGAGTATTCAGCTTTCATGGGGCATCTTCTCCGGGCATACGTTTGGGGGGGGGGGGGGGGGTTTATCTGAGCATGGTTTTTCACCAGCGAAAAGGGCAAACGTATAATATTGAAACTTTGTGGGAATGTAGTTCACCGACCAGACATAGAAAACTAGCTGGCGTGACTGATGTGATGTTGATTTTAGGAAAAATAATCGTTTTTCTACGTCTCCTCAGAGCACGGCTATTGGGTGAGTCGTTTTTCTAATTACATTTTTTCGGCCAGCAAAAAGGGGAAACCTATAAGGTTTAAACTGGGTGGCATGGAGTTCTCTGAGCCAACATTTTCAAAAGAAAAAGAAAATAATGTTAAAACGCATTATGGCACTTTTTTCTGTCCATTTTCTTTTTTTTTGATCCAACGAAACAGAGACAGAAAATGTAACCTTCCCTCAGAAGTACCTGTTTGATGGCTGAGTAGAGGAAAAATACTAATTTTAAAATATGTCCCCTTAGCGTACGTTATAGGAGGGAAGTATTTAAAAATGTATTCTCCATCCTTACCAAATGGGATACAAGAAAAGATTTCAAGTTAGGCACACATAGAATCATAGAGGTAATGATTTTGATAAAAATCAAGACTTTCGACCCCTTACATTATGTCACGTATATTAATGGGGACGTACTTTAAATACGTATTTGCCGTTTCCCAAGGAATTAATGAATTAATCACTGTCCTAGGTAATAGAGCGCCGAAGGCGCGACCATTGCGAGTTTGTTCACCCGAGGGGCTAACAAATTCGCTAGTTTTAATATAATACTCCCCTAATATGAGCATCCTCAATATTACCTTCCTTGGGAGGTCAGGAAACGCGTCGTTTCTCTGAAGCATCTCCAAATAGACTTGTTTAATGAAATTTTATTTTTAGACTTGATTTTGAACTAAGAGTCCTTTCCTATTTGAACTATTAGTTTATTTGCCTTTTTTTCTTGTTTTTTTTCTGTTTTTTGTATCTTATGTATCTGTTAGATAATGAACGAATATGCTCACCCACATTATCAACACCGGTCAGATGCTGATTCCATTCTATGATCTAAGTCATGTTCATGTTCATCCAAAGTCGTATTTTATGGAGTGTCCAAGTATGGCCGTCCACTCCCCCCCGACCCTTCTTTTGCGAAAATACGCCACTACACATTGATGCATATGTAATTTATTCCCGCCAAAATTCATTTTTCCACGGTATCTGGCAGGAAGTACTCAGAATGTAATGGAAATGAAGAAATATCGAAGAATATATGAGCCTGGAACTCCAACGCGGACCACACAAAATAATCGACTGAGTTTAAGTCAGGGCTATTGGGCAGCCAATTTTCAGGTTCGATGAAATCAGGACAGTTTTCACGAAGCCACTGAATTGTTGCCAGAGCGGCATGAGGTAAAAGAGAAAGTGTGTAGCGGGCAAAAAATCCGGTGTGTCGCTGAACTGAAGGAACGAATCCGAACTTTCACAGGGCTCAATTGCCACTGCCATCCTCAAGTGGAAAGGGAGATTGAAGGCAGTTATTCAGCAGAAAGGTGGCCATATTGAGCCAAAAAGCGTGATTTTCAACTTTTTTCAGCGGAAAGTTTTTTTCAAATCAATTTATCTCCCGTGTTTTTCGGCGGAACTCAATTGCAACTGATATCATTGGAAAGCGAATTAAATGAACTTTCATTTCATTTTTGTTAAATTATTCTAGCTCAATTTGGGACCAAGATATAAGGTTTCAAAGTAGAGGACCGGTTTTTTTTTACCCACCCTGTAGAGCTTTAACCTATTTGCTCCCTCCTGCAAAAGGAATCCAATACTGAAGAACCAGTTTGCTAAGAGCTGTTCCAGACTCAAACTCACAAAGGAATATATCAATATAGGAATCAATATAGGAATATATCAGCCACTGGTTGTTCCATATAAAAACATTGAATACAAATTTTATTATTCCTTTTTTGCACTCACCTGATGGAAAGAAAAAGGAATGCATATGCAGTGAAAAACCAAATCATCTGAGCATGAGATGAAGGCATGCCATACTGAGAATACAATGTCTTCCTTCTCATAGGACGAACTTCTTGAAATATTCTCTTCAGGATGGTGTTAGAGAGATCATTTGTTGCAACACCAATCATGTAGAAAATCTAAAACAGAAAAACAGCTGTGATTAGGCAATTTCGGAAGTTAGCATTAGAAGATGTAAAATGTTCATGCTGAAAAAATCACTCAATTTCTCCATATATTCATTCCCATGTACCTGGATTCTAAAACAGGAATGAACCAGTCATAGATGTCAAGAGTAGTGATGACTAGGTGGGTCAAGGTTATCATATACTTGTATGATGTGAATACCTCTAATATCAAGCACTTATATTCAGGTAAGCTCTTCAGCATTAGGCCAACTGAAATACAGCGCTTGCAGCAACCTCTTACTGTAATGGTGAATATTTTCTTTCTCACAAACTACTCCTGTGCCAAAAATAGGATACTAAAAAAACTTGAAAGGAGGGTACAAGTTCCCCTATATCAAACTACAGGGTTCCTCCTTGCATTGAATAGCATTTTATTTCAAATTTTTTTTCCTGGTGGTTAAGTTGAGGTAGTCAAGGACTAAAGCAGCTTCTTGTCTTGTTTTTGTGGTAAATTCATGACTTACTGTATGAAGGTCTCGTCTGAACAAGACGAGAGTGATGAGGCCTATAATGAGGACATGAGGAAGAAGAGCAGTGCAGGCTAAAATTTTCCCAAAGAGGTCACCTGTCAAATGGAAGAAAAAATAGATAAATGGACTATAATAAATTTACAATACATTACTTCAGTCATCCTCAGGAAGAAGTACCTCATATCATGTTAATATCATTCAGTTATTGGCAAATGAATTTGTACCACCTTTAATTATAAAAAAAATAGGCCTATGGTCAAAGGCATTGTTTTTGGAGTTTGATGAGCAATTCCATATGATGCTCATGTCTTGTCAGTGGAGGACAAGCAGAATGAGAACTAGAGTTCCACAATACATTCACAGATCTATCTCCCAACATGTACAGGCCTAATGTGAGACATTTATGTCTGCTTGAAAACATGTTGCAGCAAGAAATTAGCATGTTTTTCATGGATGAAAAAGAATTTTCATGCAATACTTTTAACCTTTGTGTCACTATCATGGGAGGAATTAGCTCATTTCCTAGTATGCACCATAGAAATGAAATGCAAAATGTGGTACAAATTCATTTGCAAATCACCTGAGGCATAAAGTCAATTTCTAAGTTTTTGTGCTACTTGTAACATATTCACAGGCTGCTCACTCCGATCAGTGAACTCAGATCTTGAGGAAAATATACATTAATGTCAGGAATATCACTGCTTTTGAAGTGCAAATAAGTATGCTTAGTAAAAAAAACGCCTCGGCAATCAACTTCTATGTCAAAACCCAAAAAAGATTTCAAATAAACGAGATGAATGTTTCTAAGCTGGACACGAACATCAACACCCGCAACAATAAAGTCCGAATTCACGCAACCCCTCCTTACGCCTTACCGACTGGAAAGTCGACATGAGTGAGGGCAAAGTCTTCCCATTCCCCCAACTCCATAGCCTCGCGGTCGTGGACCATCGCTCTGAGGGGACTGTGCAGGCCCAGTCCTGTCAGCTATATGGACTGAGCATTGTACGTAGTCAGTGAATTTCGATGAGATCAATCTGCGAAAAAGAGGAGCCACTATAACATGGGTACTCAAGACGTCAAAGAAATAAAAACGGAAGGGGATTCAGTTCTAAAATGATACGAATCTAATTGGTAATAAAGCCACGTGATCGGCAAGCTGACCGCCAGCAGAGAACCATGTCGGGTGCAGTGCTACTGTAATATAAGTGGAGAGTTTCTTTCAGTTTTCTCAGCTATTGATCAAATTGCCTTTGATATGATTCAAAACGTAACATTGAGGAGAAGAAGACCAGTATTTTAGGCATGAATGCGTCAGGGGTGAAGCCTGACGCACTCGTGCCTAAAGGACCGGTGTTGCGACTACAAAAGGCATGTTTAGGTCCGAGGTGAATAAGCCTGATGGCGGCATTCTAGTGCCGGTGCCACGTGTTTTCAGGATCACTGGAGTCCCTCGCTGTGCCGGGATAACGAATGATCAGCATTCGTGATGGTTGATGTGGGAATCACATACGGGTAGGAGACACGTTGTTAAACTGAAAGTTACTGTTTGTTCAACGTGACCTCTGTGAATTCAGAATGGCATCGTTTTTATGATTAATTTATATATTTTTAACGATTTTTATGATTAATAGGCACTTAATGCTTTTTCGGGTAGTCAGTGGCATTTTTTGTAAAGTATGCATGGAGATATAAAGTCGTTCAATAAATGTACAGTTTTGACTGCAGTTATTCTGCATTTTCCATCCAGGTCTGATGAACTAGAGTATATACTGGCAAATAGGCTTAATTACTTACTTATTTTACAGGAGAGAAAGGCAGCAGTTGGCCTCAAACTCTTGGACCCCACATCCTAAGTTCCCAACAAACCTGTCTTGGCCACAGAACCCTGCTGTGGAAAGATATTAAAAGAGTGTGGAGTCCCTCTGCCCTGTCTCCAGCCCAAATGCATGCAATTTAGGGTGTTCCTAAGTTGATTTAGGGGATTCCTGTGTTAAGATCCTAAGTTTGATCCAAAATGCAGCCACTATTATTTAAGGCCTGAACAGCTTCACACCCGAAGGAAGTTTTTCTGAGTTATAACAAGGCCTTGGCTTCCAGAAAACAACTCAGTTGGATTATCTTTTTGCCTTGTTTGAACCCAAATGAATCATCTCAGGTACTGTGAACTATTAGGAGTATTGCAGGCCCTGTTTGGCTTATTTAGGTTTTCCCTCCTGCCCCAAGTATACCAGGACTATGCAATTCTGGAATAAAACAGGATCATGATGCTGACTTGGAAATATTGCAATACTTCCATAATATTGACTTCCTAGAGAGGTAGCTAGGAATAAAAATAATTAGGCTTATTCTTAAAAATTAGGCATATTCTTCAACTACAATGAAACCCATTCCTTTTTTGAGTAGTTTTTATCATATTGTAGTGAATGGTCAAAGGGGAATCATCAAGCAATGCTTGTATAGGGTTTTGCTTATAAATCTGTTTTTGAAGATTGCCATAGCATTGATTCAAAAGTGTTCTAGTTTCTTTGCCCCCCCCTCTGTCTATATTTTTGACATGTTCTTGCATGCTTCCATAGTATTTGTACTTCGAAAAATAGTCCTAAATGGTATGCCTAGATTGAATGCATATGGAAGACCTGGAAGTGATTGTTGCCCTTCAACCCACCTCATGGGGAAATAGGGAAAGCCTAACTTCAATCTAAAGACAATGTAGGGGAATGGAAGCATTCCCATAATTCTCTCCATACATTTATGGCCTTTGCTCAGCAGGTTGAGAGGTATTTTTCCTTTTCACCAGAACACTCAATGTGAAACAGCTTGGGAGCCTTGTTCAAAGGAAGAATGAGACATCCCTTGCGTTTTGCCATCAAGGCAGAATGCCATAAATCAAAGGCTCGCCATTCTGTCATGACCCTCCCTCATGCAGAAGTGGAAACCCCAGTCTTCATGCCTGTTGGGACTCAGGTACTGGTATTTATATTTTTTTATTGCTTCTATCATTCAGGAGTATTGGAATTACTGAAATACACTCAAATTATTTGTTAACTATTTCTTCTGTTCAGGGTGTTCTTTTTATTACTTACATTTCTAATTTGTATGCAATTAATCTGCCATTGATAGCATATCAAAAGGCCATGTCCCATTAACAGCTCCTACCAGTAAGATGCTCAGGAATGTCATGAAGGGTACCAGTTCTCACATGCTGCTGCTGCATTTGAGAATTTAATCTACTATGTGAAGCCCAGTTTCGTGGCAAACCTACTTTTGGATGTTCCATCATAGATGCTACAGCCAGAATTTACGTGCATGTACTAAATGTGGCTAAATGTACATGTTACAGCCAAAATGCAATGAATGTATGCAGGAGGAGCACCAATAGGGAGGCTTGGAGATGTTGGGTGGGGATGAGTGGTTTATGTAAAGGAGGAACAGCAATCCTCTCCACTCTGTGCTGCTCTTAGTGTTTCCTTCATTTTAAACAAATCTATTGAGTGTACTGGGAGGAATTTTGATATTGGATCAAACATGTTGAGGAGTCCTAGACCCAGTGATGCTGTTAAACCTAAATTCTTTTTTATCCTGCTAATGGTTGGGAGACAGTTATGGATTCAGGATAGCCCATTGACTCATCAATCCCAGACTTTCTTGTTGCTGTGGAAATTGAATACCAGTTTCATATAAAATTGATGAAACTGTTCATTTCTGGAATCTCATAAATGAATAAATAAATGGAATTGTAATCTTGTAATCCTTTTCTAGAAGGGAAATCATTGGGTACCTTGTGTATATACTGTTGAGGAAACTCACATTCCCTGTACTTATTCTCGTTAATATCTATTTAGTGTGTGTATCTCAAAGTTTGAGAAACTGTGATGCAAGGGGCTCTGTTGTAGTGCAAGGATTTTACTCAATCTGGAAGCTAGCTTGATTCATATGCATGTATTGTCCCAAGTGCATATAGTGTAAGAATGCACACATGCGTCAATAATAAAATGTTCTGGATTTCTCTGATATTTCTGTTTCAAACTAGCATTCTAATGTCATGAAAAAAGACACATAAGCCTTGTTACTGGTTGTTGCATCTCGGTTTATGGAGTGATGAATGTATTTTATCACACAAATACCTTCTATCCCAAGAGTCATAGCTAAGCTTTAGATAGGTGAAAGACTAATCATCTCACTTTCACACTGAGTAATTTCCCAATTCTCATGATACTCCTTACTCCAGGGGACAATGAAAGGCATTCTCCCTGAGCAGTTGGAGGCTCTTCACTGCAACCTGATTCTTGGAAACACCTATCATCTTGGGAATCGTCCTGTGAGTACAGTGTTCTTGGTTCATATGGTTCATTATTTTTCTTTCAGAAGCTGTTACAGGTGATTCTGGTCAAAGTGCAGCCAGTGTGGAAATAGATCTCATTGCATCTACTTATTCATAACCATGGCAATATTTTGATGACCATAAATAATGATTATCACTTTCATAAATATTAGTTTTGGCATTAATTTTGCCAATTCATAAAATGACTTTAAAATTGCAAGATATAAACTCAAGTACTCTAAGACTAACTAAAAGTCATGAAGGTAACTGCTTCCTATCTTAAAAATAAAAATCCCCCCCCCCCCCAAAAAAAAAAATTA